TTGTGCGATTTACACTTTTTACGCGTTACTAAATACGAGATTTACTGATAACTCTTATACAAGCTAATAATAGTTGAGAAATCAAACAAGAAAGGGGCAAGCGCGATCCGAGGAATTGTCGGAAATATTTGTGATACTTCGCCGCGAAACACGCCTTCCTCGGAAATCCAAACAATCCTTCAATTGCTCAATTCACTGGTATCGTTCAATCTCGAACCAGAAATGAACTTTCACTCGCGGAATCTCGGAGAAATTCAACGAAATCCTACGGATGATTGCGATTCATCGTTCCGATCGAGACGCGTGCTGCAACATATGTACCGCATGGGGGTTCGGTACCTGCGGACCCATGCGGAAGGGCCGTAAGAAGTGAGCTCGCTTTCGGCGACCTACTGACTCATCTACGCCAGGTGAGCGTCCCAGGATCTGTCGGAGCCGCGGTTACCAATCGTTTAACCACAAACATTTTCTCGCGATATACGATCATTAAGCAATAATCTTGAGCCGGTAACCGGCACCGGGACAATCTGTTACACGGCTTGTCTGTCCTACGCGGTTCAAACAAGTAGCTCGGTTGCATTCACGGAGGCGTGAATTGCGTAGGAATAAGAGTTGATCGCTGACACATTCCCGCGCCTTAACAATCTTCGCTAAATGGCATAATCGCTCTGCAATACCTTCCAGTCGTTGGCTACTTAATTAATTTACCTCGGACAGCATTCCAGCTCGTTATACCAATGCTTCAGGCGTCAAACACTGAATTCTTCTACGTTTTTACGCGACAAATATAGGAAGTCATTGATCAATGTCCGTTGTTGATAAAAGAAATCTGGTGTCGACAACCAGATATGCACGTTTTCCGAGGCACGTGAGAGAACGTGATTGTGGAATTTCGATAATTGAATATATATCCGATAAAAAGTATTCTAAGTTTGCATCGAGCATGCAATACCCATTTTTCTTGTAGTGTCAGTTTCTTAGAGGTTGATCGTCACAATTCTTATGACAATTTACGGGGTTCTTAAAATAGATGAGTCACGTGACATTAACTTAACTAATTAAAATTCTTAAGAAATTCTATTCGCAGAACGAAGACGGTTTCGCTGCAAATAACATTTTCAGGAAATGTGAGCAATCATTATCACAAGTCATCGTAATCGTAATTAGTGCACATCTTCCTTAAGGAAGTGTTCTGGTTGTACAATCTACACAAAAAATTACAAGTATCCTAAGTATTTTATACTCTGATTTTGCTATATAAAGTGACTCCCATTAATATCCGGACTCACTTCAAAATAGAATAACATTTGTAATATCGGATCAAACATTTTCAGTTTCATTGAAATATTAGGAGGCCTGATTTATTAAATAATATCTAACAGGAAATTGAAAAAAATTCGATGAGGAAAAAAGAAAGAATAGGACAGGATTTTTAGTTTTTCTATTAGAGTCTCCAATAAAAACTTGAAATATCCTATTTGTAGATCTAATTATATGTTATATGTATGTACAAGATTTCATAAAAATCAGTGAAAGCATAAAAAAGTTAGACACATTGAAACACGCAAAAATTCTTCAATTTACTTCACGTGTCATTTACTTATACTTATAGCCAGAACAAGTTTGCATCGAAAATTATTCGAATTCACCGAGGTTGAGCATTCAGTAGATCAATAAACCGACAGAATTAACTCAGTTTGGTGCGTCCGAAACTGAACCGACCTGAACTTTAGAATTCGTTAATAAGTACTGATCAGATTACGTCGAACCGGATGGGTCAATTCATTTTAACCGTAACAGAGAATCAAGGAAGACTGTTTATAGATATACTCCGTTCGCAGGACTTGAGAACCAACCTCGCCGCGAATTTCTTCACTGCATTCTTACAGACGAGCAATGCTCGCCGACCAATTAATTTAAGCAATTACTTCAGTCGGACGGTCGGCGAATTACTTTCATTAATTAATTGCCCACTAGCTTCAAACGAATTGTATGTTACACGGAATTACGTTTAACCTACGTAAACTTTTCTTTTAAGACACAATTCACTACTTTGATAAAACGATTACTTACAAAAATATTAACTTTAAGTTAGATATTTCATGTAACAATGCATACAGTTTCTGTTTTTCATAATTAAAACTTCAGAGAAGTTTAGAATTTATAATATACTGATTCTAGTAAATGCATTGAAAGAAGAAATATATGAAACTACTGAAAAGCATATTGAAACTGTTACTACTTTGCTATCAGTTTTCCGTCGACCTCATTTGGGGGCTACCTCTATAGTATCTCAGGACATAATTCTCGGCAGGAGCGTGACCATTGTTGAGGCACACTTGTCAGTTTCAGCAAGTAACATCTGTCCCATTAATTTCGCCCGTGCAACGTAATCGTTTAATTAATTAGCCGTAAAGCAATTAATTCATGTCTTTCTGTCGGGTTATGGGATCGTAAATGCTTGACTATGTAACTGGAAGGAAAGAGCTCGTATAGTTTTGCGTCATTCGTTAATCTAAAATTATCTCAAACTCAAACGGATCCGACTTTTTGCGCGCGATGACACAAGCTCTTTTTGTCGCTTTCCCGCGATCGTGCGAACCGAAAGGGTTCACGGAGTACATGCGCGCAAAGTCGGAGGGAAACCAACGAAGCCCACACAAGTCATTTTTGTTCACGTCAGCCTCTGGCCTTTGACCTCGGACGTCGCTTCCCCCGCTACTCCTTCGTGCTACGAAATATCCGTGCACGAAGGGTCGAGAGGCGGCTGCCGTTACCGAGCAATCGAAAAACACGGAATACGATATACAAGATTGAAAGGCTGAATTCGCTCTCTCTCTCTTTCTCTCTCTGTGGGGAGCTACTTGACTGAAAGAACAACCTTGACCAAATCTCTTCGATTGGTGAGATTGAACGTGCGAAGGATGGGATGTATCTGACGGCTGAGACTTCGCAGAGATCCTTTTTTTTATACGAGCAAGGCACTTGTGTCTGGGTACTATTTTTATTTTTGATTCATCAATCTTATTACCTACAGCTACGCTCTTAACTGTTATCTAATTTCTACAGTACGAGGTTTAACACAATGTAATAATTTTGTAACTGGGCAAGATGATGCGAACGAAAGAGGACGAATGCGAAAGAGAGGAGTAAGCAATAAGTAGAATGAGGCGAAAGCAAGCATATAGAGTGATAGTAAAATTATACATGAAACACTGGACAGTCCTCTATTTTTCTAACTTATGAGAAACGGATAAAAATTTTTAAATGGAACTTGCATGATTCAAGGGAATACGTCTTTTGATGGAAACGAATTTTTTTTGGTTATTGTTTAATGAGATACAATGATTAAATTCATTTTTCAAAAGGGACTATGTACATTTTTTTGCATCATTTGATAGAGATTTTTAAGACAATTTCATTTACCTTTCATACACGAAGACTGTCGAGTGTATCGTAAGACACTTTATGTACTATAATTAATTATTGATTTATCTAAAAATGTATTAAGTTATCTTGGCCTGCAACAAATGTATGAAACTAAATAAATAGAATTCTCTTTAACTCCATAATTTCTCTCGTACATTTAACAAATTAGTCCCATGTGCAACGGAATCAGTAAAGCGTTTTAAATTAAGAAAAACATTTCCGATTCGTGATACCGTGGTAGTAGTGGGAGGAATGCATGGCGAAATGATTCCGCGTCGACCCGTTCATAAAGTTGCGCCCAGCGCATGGCAACGTGTGCGTCAGACGATCGTCCGTTCGAACAGCATAAATATCGGTGCTCGAAGCTCGCAATCAGGGCATCGACAAGCATTGGTGCATGGGCGATGCGCCGCGCCGCATCGTCTACACGCCACTTAGACAAGCTACATCAGCGCACCGACATGCTCCGGAAGAAATAATTGCACGGGGCATCCCGTGTACGCGCGGCTGCGTACAACCTTTTGATTCTCCCGCAAATGGGAACCGGTCGCGAGTGATTTTTTTACTTCGCTTTCGGCCCGTTTAATTCGGCGGGTCGAGATTCTGGGACAGGTGTACCAATTTAGGCGACCGACCAAAAGTAAGAGGAATTCCAACGAGCTAATAAGTGGTGATCACAAAATCGTTTGCTCGCGATTCGATACAGATGACACGGCGCGGTTCTTAAACGATGCAGAATACAGACTTGAAATTCAAATCCAAATTATATTTCAAGGAATTATCATGATCGAGAAAAAATAACAGAGAATTGATGATTCAGATAAATTGAAGTTTCGTATCAAATACTTTTTACGCATACGAATATTATCGAAGAAGTTTAAAGAAGCTTATTTATAATTTTTACAGCAAGTAGAATAATTCATTATGTATTCAAGAGTATAATTTGTGACGTGAGGATTCAAGCGTCAATATAAAATTAGCTTGCGTTTTAGGATGTTATTCAAGGCGTGCTTGTCTCTGTAATCTGAGATCTCTAAAATGTAAAACGACTATACCGCGAGGCAAAGATAAAAGAAAGAAGAAGCAAAAGTAAAAGAAAAAAGAGAATCTGTAGAAAACAAAGAAATAACGTGGAATTGTGAACGACACGCGTTATGTTCAATTTGTTGTGCATGCTTTTGCGATAGCGAAAACATCGACGAAATTATATAATCAGTTCATAACCAACTCATCGTTAAATAATTTTTGTTGTCGTATAGATCGCATTACCAATTCATTCAAAACATCCATTGCGATCATGGTTGAATAAAATAATCGATATCCTTAATCAATATCAGAGGACTCAATTTTGGTAACATTTCAAAATGAAAAAAATTTGGAAGACATTTGAAAGACAATATTAGAAAATGGTTAAACTTAAAATTATAACATTTGACAAACATGAAATGTTGAATACTTTGCATTATCTATATCATCACTTCAATTATAATATATTTAAGTTATAGGAATATTGTCTTTCAACTGCCCATCGAAATATTATATTAAAAAAATAGCCGTTTTCAGAGACTCACATTGACTTTGGCGAGGTACAGTTCCAACTCCTTGTAAGGATCCATCTCCGATTTAATATCAGTCAGCAATTTCGCACTGTCATCACTACTTTCCACTATTTTTAATTGATTGACGGTTTTCAAGGTGGGTAAACCCGATGCGGCACTTCCTTTCGAGCCATCGACCTGCAGCCCACCGCTGTCTTGCATGGTCTCCATGCCCCAACGTCAGCTTGACCTCACGTGCATTTTCTCGTGCACCTGTAAACAGAATGGAACATGACAATCAGTGTGATTCAATGTAAAACGAATCGACTAAATAATCAGAGAAGAGTTCACGACCGTGTTGATAGCTCTCGAATAATTATTCGACCTCCGAGATCATGTTAATTATCAGAATTACATCACGTCGCCGTAGTAATAATGCTCCGCAATTATATCATAATAACACAACAACATTAAGGAAGAAGACTGTGCAAAAATTATAAATGCTGCGTGTAATGCACAAAACTATGCAGAATATCGAAACCTGAATACATATTTCAATGTTTTAATAATAAAATAAATGTTTATTTAAAACACGTTGTTTAAACTGATATCATAAATGTGTTATTTTACCAAACATTCACAGTTTATTAATGACATTTTAATGACACAAATACAAGCAAGAGTTGTCAATCTAATGATTCATGTACTCGTCAGCTCATAAAGGATTCCTTTTCATCCATATTTACTTTTCAATAGGAGCCATAATTAATATCATTATCGTAAGGTATACAAATTAGCGGTGGACGATGAGGGAGAGCAGAACAAAAGGTTTCGTGAAGAGCACCTACGGGCAGAAGGATTACAATCAACCCTTGTGTGACTCACTACGTATAGAGGCTCGTATAATCACGGTTTGCCAAACACTTGAAAAGGATGGAATGGCCACCTAGACTGCTATAATTGCATTTGACTAAATTTAGATGAACCGTTCACGTTAGTCCCTAAGGCTAATTATATATCGCAGATTAGTTTGCCCACGAAAACGCGAGAAAGCTGACCTGAAATTACTGTACATACTTTATGAAGTTTCCCCTTCAGTTTTCCTCTCGCCTACTTTATTCTCTAGGCTTAACTCGCATAATGCCACTGAATCTCTGTCTCATGTTCGCTCGGCAATTGAATTTCGTAATACTTGAACCGTGATGAAACTTCATATTGTGTCCTATGTGTACAGCTGCTAACAAAAGTATTTGTCTATACTTTAATAAACCATACGAATATGAATTTCATCTATCATTATATTTGTTGAGGGCTGGTATCAAATTCTGTTCTCCTTCAAGCAAATGAAAGCAATTGCAAATTGTATTTCTCTTATTTCTTATTAATGAATGTTTATAACGTTATAAGCGTTCTACAGTTGATTGGTTAGTCGCTCGATTTACTTCAGTGATTACAATTTGAAGAATTCACTCGAGTTCATTAATTTCGCGAGTGATTAATCGAATAAATTGTGCTCAGGCTCGAGAGTTACTGAGCACACACATACTAAATAGAATTTTAAAATTCGATTTTTTCACGTCAAACGAAAAAATGTTATTTCTTTTTTTTCTACTCATTTTTACATGTAAGATTACCCCTGCTCGATTGTATGACTCGTCTTATGTATGTTAACTGAGTTTAAAATAGACTAAATAAAAAGATTATGCGCATTTCGTATATAGTTCGATTGTGAATGGATCTACGATATTCACAAGTAATTCATTGGATATTTTAAAGTTCACCGAGCCAATAGTGATCTAACATCGGTCGTTTGAATCACGAACAAACGATCCGTCGCGGGATTATGCCGAGTCAAGTGGAATACTTATAAGACATGATACGACTGCCATTTCATTCAGCGATCTCGGCCGACAATAAAGTCATGCATGAGAACACGAGTTGCTCGACGACTCGGCGAAGACGTAATATTAGGAAATTGCCGGATGTCTGAATCGCGAGAACCTGTCAGCACTCAATTTGTCAAATGACCTCACAGGTGAACCACGATGCTCGAATAACGTCATTGCAGTTCCGTGATTTTTAACGAAAGAAGTACTGGTTGTATAGATTCTAACATGTGA